ACTGGCTGGTGATGGAAAAGCCAGAGGGCAGAGAAACCGAACTGCAAGGTCAAATCACCTGCCGGGAATTTGTCTGTGTGTTTGCAGACGAGTGGCTGACAGTTCCTGGAGGAAACGCGATGCTGCCTCACACAGAAAACTATTCACTGGCTTGCAGTGTGACAGTGAATGGTTTTATTGTTCATTTGCTTATAATATAGTGAAAGTGCTGCAGAAAGAAAAGGAGAAGCTGAGTTTAACGTTTCTGATAAAGGTCAGTTTGGCTCTCGCTTCCTGTTTTTAGCTGGAGCTGCTATTCTGCAATCTTTGTTTTTCATTTTGTTCTTTTATGAGAGAGAAAATAAATCTCTAGCTCCAGTAGGTACAGATTAAATTCACTCCTTTTTCCTTTATATTTTCTGTAAAAGTAGAGTATAAAGTTCAGTCCATGTGATGCTTTCAGAAGGGCTTTTATAATCTTCAAATACAAGATATGCAACAGGACTCAAATCAGTCAGAATAATTAGATTGAAGATTAGACAGCAGAGCTGCACAACATTGAAATGGTTGCAATATTGCAAGAATAAGATGAAAAAGTTACAAAATGCAGGCTAACCGACTACAACGTTGAGTTAAAGTTTCACAATTACGTCGGTTCTAGGTATGGCGCCGCCCTACTGGACACATTTATACTTATAGAAGTGCACAGATGTAGAGTTTTGTGTGAAGTTTTTGTAAACTTTGGCCAATGAGAGCAGATTCAAACTTCACTTCGAAACTAAGAATCATGTTCAAGATGTGCATTCGTTATTCATGCTAGGAGAAGAGGCGATGTCACACTGTGTGAGAGAGAAAATGACTGCTGTACAAGGTTAGCCTTATTTTAAAACAAAAAATTGTGACAAAATAATTTATAGCTAGATTATTAATCATGGACAATAGCTTGATATCAAGTAAGGTGGAGGAAGCAGCGTAGGTGGAGCAAGATATTCTGCCACCTGCTGGTGGGAGTTGGTGTCACTCAAAGTCGATGTTTTTTGACCATTTTTGCAGAATCAAATAACGAGGAACCTCTTAAACATTTTACTAGTACTACTGAAAATTGCTAATGTCTTTTGTCGCTATTAAAATCTTCCACACCAAAGAAACATTGTGTGTGTTTCTGTGGGAGCGACCTGTTAGGACTCTGGTGCTTTCACTGATTGGAAAAATAATTGGATTTTTCAGTCTCAGACTGGGAGGTCATAGGTCACACAGATAAAACTAAACATCATCTCACTTTGCCACATCTTTGTACAAAACTCCAGACAGCAAACAATACTTGCATGTGTCTATTGCCAGTGATAGTTTATTGTTTTTCTCTTTCTACCAAAAATTGGATGATAAAAGTCTTGCAGGTGCTTTGGTCTCAACTAGGTACTTTTATGCAGGACAGTTTTGGTCACAGACTTTATAATTAATTTTATTTGTTTTTATGTTGTTTGAACATTTAAAATGTCTTTAAGGTTGAATGTCTGTGTGAATTGTTATCCCATTACCATTATGTTACTTGAAAATGGTCTCAAAATAACTTCTGGGACAATTAATCGCCCAGCAACACTTATTATATCAGAAAATATGATTAGTTTACAAACTGATTGATGACAATTTGAGCGCAAAACACTATTTATGCTGTTTTTCATCTAAAGTTTTTATATTTCATTTTAAATTCCTCTGCAGTGCATGGGTTTTAAAAAGACAAGCTTCCTGAGCATCTTGTGCAGAGATGATTGTTTAAGCTAAACCCCCTGCTGTTGTGTTCAGATTCAGCTGTGTGTGTTTCTGTTCAGGTGTCAGTTGTGTATGGATCTGTTCATCTTAATCGTGTTTTGTGGTAAATGAATATTGCGTCAGAAGATCAGCGCAGACAGAATCTTCTCACGCAGGTCAGAGGTGACTGAGTCATCAGTCTGTGTTTAGATGCGGTTTCTCCACAAAGATGTTTGTCTGTTGATTCGTGTGTGCTCTGAAGGAGTCGATAGACTCTCAAGTGACTACACTAAGTGGTGGAGCGTCTCCTGGGGTCCCACTTCCTCTGAAATATTGACTCAGCACTGCAGGAAGAGGTCACACACAAACACTGACACACGGCCTTTTCCATTACATGATGTCTCTGGTTCTGCTGCTACAGTGATTATTTTTCTGTGAGACGAACAATGACGGGCTAATGAATGCTCTCTGGGGGGTTTGTCTTCGTGGGACTCTGTTGACAGATTCTTTCCATCGTTCCCTGATGTGATGTCAGGCAGGGATTTGATGTGCAGCAGTTTCACATATGAAGCAGGAGGCTGTGCTGTTTAATAGGATGTGTGTGTTAATCACATGGTTGATTTAACCGTTTTGGAAGGTATTCATTTCCCAAATGTCCCAAACACAAAGACCAACACTGGTGAATTATATAAAAACGCTGCTCATCATTATTTGTTATGCTATCAGAAATTAATAAAATTTTTGATGCATCAAAACCTCGAGAACTTGGGGATTAAAAACATCTGCTATATAATAGAGCAGTACCGATATCTTAAAAACATAACAATGTTGGCTGGTATCGATGCTAATACCGATATATTGTGCATCCATTTAAAAAATTAGATTTATATTCCTTTTGATAAAGAAAATACACTTTATGTTGCTAATATCAGTAAAGAAAATCTTTATTTCTGCCAAAATGCTGACAAGAAAATGTGAAAAATCTTTCCATAATTTGAAGAATGAACCTGTGTGTATACCAGAGTCAACACAGCTTTACTCAGAACCTCACACAGGCTGCTCTCCAACTTCCTCCACACATTTCCAAACCAAACTTTCAACACATGATCCTCAGCATGTCATGCCGTCGTAGAGCAGAGCGAGACTGAAACGGATTCCTCAAAGTCCCCAAAGTCTATTTCTGTTATCTGAAACTCGGTGAGGTCAAGGCTGAGCGTGTGAGGAGTCCGTTTGTGTGACGCTGCGGCGGCGCTCGCTTTGACATCAAGGACACAACAAAACCACTTTGAGCCTTTGGTCTTCGGCAAATTGCCGGTCATGCGAGCTCTTTGTAAATCCCCCTGATCTGCTGCTTTTATTTTGGAAACACAGACAGGTGTTTTACGCCTGTGATGCGACTCTCTCTCCAGACTCTTCCTTTACTGTCTGAACTAATTGGACCTGTCACAATAACAAATGCTGCAGAAGTTATTACGATAAATGATAATATTGTTATTTTGAGACCATTTTCAAGTAATATTACAGTAATAATGGGATAATTATTATGTCATTCTCCTATTAATAGATTTATTGTGACAGGCCTAGGAATGACTTATTCTTTATCTTTAAACTCATACGTTCTGTTAATCCAGGATACTCTCCGTCCAGAGAACTGTGTCATAAATTATTCAGGGCTCTGCCGGGCCGGGGGTCGGCACCGCCGCCGGGTCGGGCTCGGCACCGCCGCCGGGTCGGGCTCGGCACCGCCGCCGGGTCAGGCTCGGCACCGCCGCCGGGTCAGGCTCCGGCTGCCATCTGCTCTGTGAAAGCGTCTCGGCATGGCGTTGTACAGTAACTCAGGAGGCCAAAGTTCAGCCCGACTGTAACGCCGAGCTCCCATTAGCAGGCTATTTGTGGAGCTGGGAGTGAGTTCATGCTGGAACAGGAAGGTTTTCGCATATCAGCCTGACATCATAACCGACTCTGACAGTTTGGTGGCAACAGAACCGGATCACTGCAGGAAGCTGCATCACGCTCTTCAATTCATATGTTTGATTATCATGTTATTAAAAGAGGGAAAATTATACTTTATGTGATTAAACCCAAAGATCTAATTGTACTTTATGTTATATAATCTTTTTTAATGTAGTTGAAACAAAAAATGTGTGGGTTGATAAACGGTGTGAGTCAGAGTTTGATTTATCTACATCGTCACCATGTGATGGATTCTGTTACACGTAGATCTGGATCTGTTACACGTAGATCTGGATCTGTTACACGTAGATCTGGATCTGTTACACGTAGATCTGGATCTGTTACACGTAGATCTGGATCTGTTACACGTAGATCTGGATCTGTTACACGTAGATCTGGATCTGTTACACGTAGATCTGGATCTGTTACACGTAGATCTGGATCTGTTACACGTAGATCTAGGCAGCAGTAAGAGATGCTTTTGCTCCTGTTGTTACAAAATATTTCACAAGCTAAAAAAACTGAAATATAATAAATATTTTAGATCTTCATTACATTTTCAGTAGATAAATTGTAATTTTTCGTAATCGATTATTCTGACAATAAAATATGAAAAAGTCATATTCAGATTTCTCATTTAAACTTTTATATTAGAAATGCATTAAATTAATTCAAATTCCTTTTTTAAATTGGAAAATACATATTTTATTTTCTGCAATACAACATAACCTCATTGCTTTAGTGAATGTTTGATCATTAGTAGCAAAGGATGCAGTTAAATAAAATACTTTTAACAATGAAGATCTCAGTCCTTCCTGCTTGGTTTTATATGAATGCAGTGTAGGACTAATCTGGTGATTGATTTTCTTTAATAAGTGATTGATAATTGGAAATCATGAGGGGATTAATAGAAGAATTTCTTTTTCAGAATTTGAACCAGATGAAACCAAAACTTTGACTCTTAAGAAAGAAGAAGGTTTTTCTTATCTTAATGCAAAATGTATGTAGTTTTTGTACATGCATATATATTTCCCTCAGTTACTACTCTAAGTATGTAATTGTTTCTGTTAATTGACTTTTTCTCGTCCTTATAGTTAAATTAATAATGAATAAATCACTAAAGTAGTTTGCTGGTTTCAGCCCTGATCGGTTGGCGGATGAATCGTCCTCCATTTTCTTAATTTTGGGTGAAAATAAGATTTGAACATTTTAATAATCGGTGATCAGCCAGAAACTGCAATCAGTTCACTCCTAGTTTTAATGTGAAGAATATGTATCCAGATATTTTTCCTCCTCATTTGAGCGTCTCTGTCCTTCAGGAAAGTCCCACCTTGCCATCGTCCAGAAGGTGAACAACGAGGGCGAGGGAGATCCGTTCTACGAAGTGCTGGGCTTGGTCACGCTAGAAGACGTGATCGAGGAGATAATTAAATCAGAGATTCTGGACGAATCCGACCTCTACAGTAGGTTTTTGTTGTCAGCATTACCAACTTTTTCAAATTTAAATGCCAAATTACTGCAAATTGTTGGATTTGTAGAATATTTAAGAGGATATTTTATAGATCTGTAAACTGTTGGTTTGTATCACTTTCAGCTGACAATCGCACCAGGAGGAAAGTTGCACCTGATAAGAACAAGAGAGACTTTTCTGCCTTCAAACACGAGAGCGAATCGAAGGTGAAGATCTCTCCTCAGCTGCTGCTGGCCGCGCATCGCTTCCTGGCCACAGGTGGGGGATTTACCGAGGAAACTGACACCCTGCTGCTTTCAGCCCTGTATTACATCACACTCCTCTAAACAAGCTCCTCTTTTACTGCTGCATCATATTCTCACAGGAAAATTTGGAAAAATTCAACCTCTGATTTGAGTTCATTCATGAAGTATGTGCCAATATCTGAGGTTTAGTATCGGCCAAACATTTAAAACTAAACTGCAACAAATCTGGAAATGGTTCAGAAAGTGCAATTAAGAATGCTAAATATAATGTAAAATAAATAATGAAGCATAGACTGAATAGATCTGCTCTTGTGTCGCTGATACCCAATCCAGATTTTTTTAAATTATTGGGGCTGATGCAGATAATGTCAGATCAGTGCATCTGTGGTTCGAGCTCATGGCTTTTATCAACTCTTTATAGAATCAGTATGTTTAACAAAAACAAAACAAAGTAGCGTCTGCCAGAAGACGGTGAATTATAAGACCAGCCCACCAGAAAGAGTCCAATTTAAGATAAGACAACTATTTCTTCCCATTAGAAATATTAATTACTTAAGTTACACATTAATCAGTGCACAGGAAGCCCAACAGAATAAACCTTCATAGAGGCAAGAAAGATGATGAACAAAGACATGTGGAATGACGTGCACAGCTGACATGTTTCACACATTCACTGGAGTTAAACTACACTTTAATTACAGGTCGGATCTTTCTAAATGTTTCCCATATCAGTTATTATTCCACATTAAAACGTGTTTATTTGGTTGACTGTTACTCACCGTTCCAGGTTTGCCTCTCTGTGTGCAGATTGCTGTTCATGCAGCAGTAAATTGTGTTTTTAAGCAGCAGAACTTGTTTTATCGGGTCATTGTTAATTGATTGGCTGTAATCAGAGAGCAGTGAAGATATTTACACCGAGAGAAAATGTTTGTTTCTGTCAACCAGCTCACCACAAACTCAGCTCTCCTTCTGCCGTCTGATATCACTGGAGTGTGTTGCAATCTGTCGGGTTAGCATGTGTGTTAGCTGATATGCTTTGCTGCAAACTGCTACGCACATGGCATGAGCTAGCACTTCCTGCCTCACACAAAGTTCCTGTGCAGGTTGCATAATATTCGTTTCTGGTGACTTCATTACAGATTTTTCTCTCATGTTTGCTTTGTTGTGAGAAAACTGAATTTTTTTCATAGTTTCTCTTTAAAACAAAACACTAACTTTATTTTTTTGTCTTTTATTTTAATTTACCGTAATAATCTTCAGTCTCAAATCTCCTTGCAACAATGTGACGTTTATGATTCTTACATAGACGATAATAAAAGCAGATTTTAGCAATTTTACATTTTGTATAAGTTGATGAAGAGAACAAATATACAAATGTAATTTTTCCAGTGGTGTGAGTTTGTAGGTGGGCTGACCGACCAGGCGAAACCAGGAAGAGGAGTGAAGGCCTTTGTACGCCATCTTTGCTCCAAGCTTGGGCGGCGACTCGGCCCTTACGGCTGAACGCCGATCGCAACAAGCCGACTTCTGTCAGCTGAAAACATTTCTCACCTGCAAGTAACATAAAGAATAAACAAATGACCCTAAAGATATAAATAGGAGAGCAGTTTGGGTTGGAAATTATTATAAGCAATTACAATAATTGACAGAAGGGAAACCAGAAAAATAAAGAGATAATTAAATGCAACACAATAAACCAGCTAAATAATTTGGTTTGTTTTATTAGACCGAGAGATTTATCACAAAAACATATAGGAACTCTTCAGCTGTTATCCTGAAATATGCTTTTAATACAGCAGGCAGTTTAAAGCTTTCGCTGTGAGCCTGGATGTCAGATTTGTTGCACTCAGCCTCATTAGCTTTTTAAATATTAAAGGACTTTAATCTGACAGCGATCACTTATTAATAATCACAAAATAAACATGAAGCCTGACAACATAGAGCTGTACAGACTGCATGTTCTGTTCCTTGCATGGGAAATGTTTGCAGGTTTTTTGGCGTTGAATCCATTTGGTGCCGTTGTTGTCAGTTGCTACGACAACCAGGCTGTGTGTAGAGCGACGGAGAACGAGACAAATTGAAGATAATAAATGGTTTGAGTTGTCATTTTCCCCTTTGTTGTGGCACACTGCACTGAATTGGTAATCCATACATCTCCAGGTTTTATTTTGTCAGAATTATTCTAATGCAACGAGTAACAGAACCGCCCTTTTGCCCTCCACAGATGTGCAAAATGTCTGGATGTAAATAAGAGAAATGATCAAAACTATCCTGCCGTTTAGAGTCGGTGTGTTCAGTGTTTTCTCCTTTCACTTCTACAAATGTATTTTGTTCTCATCTATTCTTCCACATGCAATGCACTGCAACTTCTTAATTGAATCGTTTTAAAGGCTTTTCATCCTAAAATAAAACAAAAGAGACTTAAACTTAATATTTTTGTTTTTGCAGAAGTGAGCTTGTTCAGTCCAGCTCAGATCTCTGAGAAGGTGCTGCTGCGGATCCTCCGCCATCCTGATGTCATCCAGGAGATCAAGTTCAACGAAAACGACAAGCGATCGCATCGTCACTACATCTATCAGAGAGGCAAGCCGGTCGACTACTTCATCCTCATCCTGCAGGTAGGGAGCTGGTTGGGGTGAAAAACGGAGACCATTCACTTTGGTTTCAGATGCTGCTTTACGATTCTTTGCTGTTTCTTTGGTTTTGAGACGCACCAGTCAGTTTTTACTGGCAGACACCGACCTCCTGTTTCCTCTGAAGTCTGATCAGTGTGATTGATCAGTGTGTGATCATTACGAGTTTTCTCTGTTTTATAAGGTGCTGCGTGTTTGCTGGCATGAGTAACAATTGTTGTAAAATGATTTAAAATTGAGGAAATGACTAAATGATTTTCCTTTATGTGTCATAGAATGTGCCGCCCTAACCTTTACAACATTTTCCTCATTTCCCAAAGCAGCTGTTTGTTGTTCGGTTCCTGGCATGTGGAATGAGATGCTGTTACTTTCCAGGTCCGATGCAGATAGAAACAAGCATCTTAAAGTAAGCTCATTCGACTCAGAGTGTTAAAATAATCCAATATGAGCAGAAATCTTGTTTGTGTTTAAGTTTATTTACACATTTCAGAAACAGGTTAAAACTTCACCAAAGTGCTGCACAAAGACAAGCACACAATAGAATAAATTGACAAGTTTATATCAGTTATTAATCAACTCTAGACATATTTAAAGGAACTCAGTGTTTCAGCTGTTTTTCAGTTTTCTGGCAGTTTGTTCCAAATTTGTGGTGCATAGAAACTGAATGCTGCTTTTTATTGTGTGTCTTTAATTAGTAAAGGACTCTGTGATGTCATACTTTGAGAACATTTTTGACAAGTAAAACTGGATAAAATTAACAAGTCAAAGCAGCTGGTTTGAAGTAATGACCAGTTATTATCTCTGAATAATTAAGCGTAGCTGCGTCCACTAGTAGACCTCTTATCACGTTAAATACCTGCTGTCATTCATCTTCCCAAAACATGAAAAATGTCCTGCTCGTTTCCACCCTGAGGACTGAGCAGAAAACTCTGCTGCTGCTCTGCCGGATCCAGTCAGCGCCTTTGAGCGGGAACACTTTAATCCCAGCGCTCCATACCGAGTCGCTTCCCACACTTCGTCCTGGTTTTCTGCTCCCAAACAGTCATTATGGACCACACACGTAGTGTAATCCTCTGACACCTTTCTGGGAGTTTCTGTTTGAATTCTGGCTTCAGTTTAAATACTTTCTTCACTTTTCTCCCTATTGGTTTCTCAAAGCTAATGAGGCCAATTTAACAGCCGTGGAGCTTCGAACCTGTTTCCTCCAGTTTGCTTCAAAACACAGAAAATGATCAGCAAAGATCTCTGTGGATCCTTGCTGTGGATCACAGCAAAGATCTCTGTGGATCCTTGCTGTGGATCTTTGCTGTGCCTTGCAAAAGTATTCACACCTCTAACATGTTAATATTGATGACAAAGGTCTAGTTCCACTGGGAGGTTGCTTCACTTACAATATGAGAAAAATGTCATGCTGTTCAATAATTATTGACTTAAAACAAGCTCCTATATCTAGCTGAAAAGTCACTTGTAAGTTAATTATTTCTTATTTCAAGTGTGCAAAGATATTTATACCGGAAACTAGACCAAAATAGTTTGGTAAGATTTTGTGTTTTTGGAGCCAGATGTGAACCAACTTGCTCTTGAGATCTGATTTCTGTTTTAAGGCCAGATTCCTGTTTAATTAGTCAAAATGGAGTAAATGGTACCATGTCTGCTGGACTATCAGGTGTGAAAACACTTTTAAATATCAACACTAGTTGATATATATTTTTCTTAGGGGTGCACTGATTGCAGTTTGATCACCGATCTTTAAAGAGCTCGACCAGCCGAATCAGATTCTGACCAATGCAGATTTTTTTTTTTGCGTTTATTTTTTTGGTTTGAAAAAATAATTTTCCCTTTAAAGTATCGGACGATCTCTGATTTATTTATTGGATTCATTGGTTCATTTTTTTCTATTCCTGTATGTAAACAGAAAGGGAAACATCAGTCTATAAATTAGTTCACATTTCTTCTTCTTCAGCTTCTTCTTCCAACTTTATGAACAGTTTCTGTGTGTGTAGCAGCGTGTGTGTGTTCGTGTGTATGTGTTGGTGCGTGTGTGTGTGTGTGTTGTGGGCAGGTATGATCACCATCAGCAGACTGGATGTTTGTTTATGACCACTCTCATTCATGTGTCCATAAAGATGCTCTGAGGTTCTCACAGAGCAGCTGCTCTGTTCAGAGTCACATTTCTGCTGCATTCAAGGAATTTTCTCCTCTTCCACGGGAAAATCCCTGGATTACAAGCAGGCTCCTTTTTCCACTCCCAAGACGACAAACCTCTATCTATTGTTACATCTGTCGACGTTTTGCTTCACATGTTGTCTTTGAGTATTCCTTAAAAAGGCAAATGTGGACGAGCGTTTTTAAATAAAGTGCATCTGCTAGTTCTTCCTGTTGTGAACCAGAGACGGAAAATTGATTCCTTTGGGGATAAGAAATATTCCTCGACAAAAAAGGAGATATTTCCACTCTGCGATTCAGTTTGCTGAGTCATGGCGTTACGTCCCGATGTTAGAGTGAGTCACTGATTTTTAAAACGGGTTTGTTACAAACCACTAAACTCTGAGGTTAAATCACATGGTAGCGCAGATTTAACGCCGGCTGAGTGTTTCAGCGAGGTTCAAGAATGAAAGCTCTCGCTGGCTTTGTTATAAGTTATTAACTGCCTGCGGCAGAGAGTCCTCCAGCCACTGCAGGGGTTCATCTCTCTCTCTTTCTCACACACACACACACTCACACAGCTTCCTCAGACAGCTTGGTTCCACATTACCTCATCCTGCCTTGTGCTGTTTTTATCTGCATTAGTTCACACACTGAATAACTGCTCCTGTAGGACGGCTGCTTTGCTCTCATTGGTTATCGTAAAGATGAAAACCTTACTCATCCAGAGTACCCAGCTCCCTCAGTTTCACCTTATTCCAGCCAAAACAAACCCTGAAGTTGGCCGTGTTAGTACCTGAATTAAGCAACGCTCAGATTCATCTCAAAAAATCTAAATCAACTTTCTACCACTTCCTGTCGTCTTCTTTGTCGTTTCCCTCAGTAGTAACATCTGACTGTTGATCATGTGACTCATGATACAAAAAAAGTGTTTCCATTGCAGTTTTGTGAAATGCATCTATTTCTATATGGCTGAAGAAAATACCTAGTTTTTTTAATGCTTTTCAGAAAAGCCAGTTCAAGCGAGCATTAAGACATTTTTACAGATTTTATTTCACATAGCCTAATTGTTGTTTCCATTAAACGTCTCTAAAGCAATGCTTCAAAAGTTTCAGTTAATATTTAACTTCATCTCTAAACATGATGATGTATTTGTGGTTTCTTGAGCTCTCAGTTGTGGATTTTAGGACTCAGATGTTAAATGAACCACAGAAACGGTGAATAATCTGTAGATAAATAAAGTTGTAATCTAATGGAATTAGGCTTATGTTTGAGGACTTTATGAACCTCCTCACCTCTGAACTTCAACTCCATATTGAGCTTCCCTCCTGCGGCTCACACTTTATTAAACTTTCCCAATCTCTACTTTCTCACAGTTAGTTCTTTTCTTTTTTTTCCACCTTTTTTGCCGTCACAGATTTTCTTTCTGTTTTTGTTAATCATGATCGATCACCCGGGGCCACAAAGAGGCTAGTGGTGCTAGAACATCAGCTATAATGTTTGCTCATGTCGTGGATAAGGACCTGAGCAGGAACAAACAGTTCTCCATCGGGTCATTTATGACTCATAATGCAGCATATTGAACTTTAGCCAAGACCCACCTGCAGGTTCAGGTCTCTTAAACGACTCTCTGACCTCCACTTTGAGCCTCAAGCTGCATTACTGCACAGGAGAAATGGGAATATTATTTCTTACAGTTTAGTTCATAATACAAGTGCATAAATTATAACCAGTTTACAGTTTTCTCCCTGTAAGTTTTAGGCATTTGGTTCAGAATCTTCTGACACTTTCCCTGGTTGGTAATAAAGATCTGAAACCTGACGATATGAAGTAATTAATGGTCAATTTTAAATTAAAACATTTGTTTCAGGTCTTAAAATGCCTTTTGTCACAATAGCTTGAACTTAAAGCAGAAGTAAACATTTAATGGGTGGGACAGAAGAAAGGCCTCAGTGACCTGCTAGCCGATGAAGTAACAGTAATAATTGGCGCAAAAAGATACGTTATCTTCATGTTTAGGTGCTGTGAATGAAAGGCTGGCCTGGGAGGGTCTGCTCACTTGACTGGTTCTCAGATTTGCCGCACCTGCTGTTAGTCATTTGTTTTGCATGAGGCTTGGAGACTATAGAGGACTAAAGGTCATGGTGAAGTGGAGGTAAAGAGCGTTTGTTGTTAGAAATGAATCTGCACTGGGTTGCTGTTCGTTCTTGTGCTGCATCTGTTGGTGCCTCTCGGCCTGGTCTTTCTGGAAAAGGGGTTTTTAATCTTGATGGGTTTTTATTCTGCTAAAATATTGACAGTTGGGAAACCTGCAAACCTGTTGTTTTAGCTCTAAAATCGTCTTTTGATGTAGTGAGCAGAAAGCAGCTCTTGTTCTCACCAAGCTTTGGTTTGGTTTTTTTTCCATTGTAGTTTTCATTTACTCTCCATTTTATTCCTCTTCACTGTCAAAATGAGTCATTTCGAGCAAGTTTTCAGCTAAACAAATGGTGTCAAATTATAAAGTCATCATAAGATCATTTATCAGCTTTTATTTTTCAGATGGACAAATATTTCAACATGCTTTGTGTTGATGCTGGTAATTTGGTCTGTTTTGGTTCCACTGGATGTTTTGTTCTAACCTTGATTTGGAAAAATTATGTCCCACATTAATAACCAATTACAAGATTTAATCAAGTTAATTACAGGGTCTGTAATTCATTAGTCGCAATAAGCAACATTTTTAATTCAAAAACCATTTAAGTGGCTACATCACTGAATAAATAGACAAATAAACTCAACATCAAAAGTATTTATGGTTTTAATCCATTATTTAGTTTATTAAACCATAAGATGGAGCAAGGCGTTACTCTTTCTCCCATCCTTTAGAAATGTGGACTGTGGATGTTGACGTTAGCATTAGCATCTATGCTGTTGCTGCATGTTTAGCATTCAGATGCTATTTTAAGCCAGAATAGTTTTGCTAATATGCTAACTGCTTTAGCACAACAGCAGAGTTTCCAGCGTCCAATCAAATCATCTCAGAAGCAGAAATGAACCCCAGCGAGCCGAGAGAAGCTGCTTCATTGTGCATCATTGTTGTTTGCAGCGTCAGATTTATGGGCGTACCAGAAACATGACATTACAATTATTTTATAAAAAAGATATTAAAAAACTTGATTTATAGCGGTGAGATTTTTAACGTGTTAAAGTCTATAATAAATTACTCAAAGTTAAAATGTTCAAACATCAAACATACTTTAATGTACACAAAGGAAACCATATCAGCACTGACAGATAGTAACGTTTACGGTTTGTCTTCTTCCTGGAGGGTTCAGCCAATCAGTGCCAAGGAAAATGAGTGGAGTTCCTGGATTAGCTGGAAAATATTTTAAATATCCAAAATAAACAAAACAACATAAAAAGCAAATGAAATTAATTTAGAAATTTCTTAAAACAAAATTGTCCTTCAAACACAGGTCTGGTTCAGACTGAAGACTTTTATCTTCCAGTTTTTGGTAGAAAAAGAAAAAAAGAGAAAGGAACGCAATAAATAATGCAAATGTAAATGATTGAGTGTCATAATGGGAGTGAATAGTTAGCCCAAATGCAGAACACACTCAGGGGAAAACTGTAGTACAGAAAAAAAGGTGAAGTTTATTGAAGACACTGCTGCAGAGCACTGAAGGCTCGGGTCGGTCCAGGGAGAAAGGCGACAACAGGAAACAAGCGGTTCACTGGAGGGGCAGAGTAGATGGTGAGTTCAAGGTTCTAGTAAAATATTGCGTGTGAGGGAGGGAACAAGTCTTACTTGATGACCGCTGGGTTAGCGAGGTGAGGGAGTACTGAAATGTCCGGGGTTTATGGTTCTCAGTGGTTCCAGGTCGCGGTGATGTTGGCTGGCTGAAATCCAGGAAGAAACGGGAGCACGTCGGAGGGCGGACAGGTAGGCTAGAGCGGCGGCGGTAGAAAAGCAGTACGACTGCCAGTCGTGGGAATCTGGGAGGAGCTGGATGGTTCACGGATGGAGTGAGTCTGGGGGCTCGGACAACGAGAGGCCAGGAGGAAGCACCTGAAGGCGAGAAAAAAAACAACAAGGAAGTTTTCTTTTTCACTAGGAAACAGAGTAACAGAAGCAAGCTTCTAGGGGCTTGGAGCTACCATGACTGGCTAACACTCAGGCGCCGAAGGACTGGCAGTCTGCCTCTCTTGAACGTCTCGCTGATGAGCTCAATTCGCCTCAGGTGTGGGATGACGTCATCCTCGCCCTCCGACCAAATGGAATAGGCTCCCTCTAGTGGTGGAAACAAAACCAGTGCATACACAAAAACTCCACAAGGAGCTGAAAGAAAACCCCGGAACATGACATTGAGCTTGTTTTAATTTATCATGTGATTTTGACCTAAAGGTTGTCAGGTGATTTATGCAACATAAAGGCAGGAATTATTGATTTATTTTTGCTTTAAAATACAGTGTAGCTATATTGAACATTTGGCCACTGGGTGCTGAAGCGTCGCTACGGCTGTGTGTGAATAATTGACAAAGGTTAGACTATTTTTAAAAAATGCCTACTGGCTTTCTGTGTCCAAATCTCAGGGACTGATGAGACTTTATTCTGGATTGAAACACCTGCAGACGGGATAAAGTCTGGAGGAACCGGTTCTGCTGCAGCGCCTCTGTTTCTGCAGTGCGAGTTGTTTTGTGACGCCTGCATGGCTGGAGCCAGGCCTGTGCACATGTTGCAGTGAAAACATGACCTCAGCTGATGATCACGCTCTCACAGTTAGCCGCATGTCAAACATTAAGTCATGTTTCAGTTGCTGTGATGAGCTGGAAGCAGCAGAGGAATGTGGATGTTTTTATTCTCTGTGCTTCTGGTTGATTTAATAATAAATCATTACAGCCAGTGAACATCTGCTCATGTTTTCCTCTTGGTGACTCAGTGGCTTTCAGATGACAAATCATCTCTGCAGGAGGTGTGACAGTTTAGACATATAACACAGATTATTCTAATTTTTAAAAGCATTCAGATCAGGAGCCAACAGTGCGACGTGGCTGGGTTTGGTTAGCTTAGAAAAACCCTTGAAATGTCGCATTTGTTATATTTCTACCTGGACAAACAGGATCCAACGGCGTAAATAAAAGCCACCAAAACATCTGAAGCATGTCAGAGTTCAACTCTGTTAACGAGGTCAGGGTGGAAACAAAAGTCTTGCTCTACACCAGATCACCAGGATGACAGTTTGTCGGCTTGAGCTGCAAATGACTAAAATGTTTACTCAGCAGGAATCCAAAAACAGAGAATGTACTATGAATAAACTTCATACAAATATAAAGATGGAAAATAAAAAATACAGGAAATACATTAAAAATAAGTAAAAATGTAATAAAGAATGTGAAAACTTCACAAAATGCTTTTTTTAACCACATTTGAGAAACTATTTGAATCCTTCATGCAGAATCCCCTGAACTACACACTTCATCTTTCTACACAACAACAACAATAATAATGATAATATGCTTTAAATGCATTAATGGGTGAATATATAACCTCTGTGACCTGGCCTTGTCATAAACATTTATGAATGGATTTGCTGGTTTATAAATGCATTAGTGCTGAGCCATTTATTTGGATTAATTGTGATTAATCTATTAGTCACCATTTGTCCAGTTATTAATCCGTTAATCCAATAAATAATCACCAGATCAGCACTACGCTGATCTGAGGTTAAGTCTGATATTGTATAAAAAGGGCTTAAGTGGTTACATGAAAAATCTGCAGAACGTGCAAACTTTTTATTAGATTAATCGATTAACCAGAATAATCACAGAGATAACTGCAGATTTAAAATGCGTATGTGGATGGATGCTCATAATTCCCCACAATAAGAGCAACTCCAGAACATGTTTCCATTTTTCTCATTTGCAGGTTAGACAGAACTGATCTGATAGTTGGAGGAGAAGGAACTGTTGACTGAGTGGTTTTGGCTCGGTTCTGTGCTGTAATGCTGCTTTGCTTTAGCATTAGCATTAGCTTTAGCTTTAGCTCGCTGTTAGCTGGACTCTACAGTGTTTTCAGCATGAACAGCTTCCCTCCTGTTACTTTGTAACAGGAGGGAAGTTAACTTCCTGAGATAGCTGAAGGTTATTTTCAGTCTTTTATGTTTTAAGTTGACAGAAACATTTACACTGAAGCAAATATTCTTATGTATCATGGCTACTTTATGATCATTTTGATGAATTATTAACTTTTATCTCCAGTGTGTGGAGTCTTCATATCTCCCTTTAAATTGCTGAAGTATCAGGTTTAGTTTTTTGGTTTTTTTCCACTTACAACCATCTGAAGCTTTATAGAGTTTAAATATTAGCAGATGATGTGATGGACTACATTTAGTTCAAAACTTTAGTCGATACAGTCCAAAGAATTAGGAATATAATCTAAATATTAAGACAAATGATGCATAGAAAGATAATGTTTGAATAAATTAGTGTTTTTGTTCAGATTTTTTTATTTTCCCACCTGTTCTGCTTTCATAGGGATGAAAGGAAGGAGGGACGTTGGATGGATTAACTGTGCTGTGTTGTTGCTGCAGCCACACATTCCAGCTGGTTGAACTGGGCCAACACTCTGTACCAGTACACCAGCTTCTTTAACCCCCAGTCTGTCCTCTGTCACCCACTAAATTCATTATTTTCTCATATTTTTATCCAACATCTCTCTGAGCGGTGTCCTCTGCTCCGCCGGAGTGATTAATATTGGTATTTACATGGAAATGTGGCGCCATCTAGAGGTCACATGGTGTATTTTCATCAAAACTCAAACACTCTTGGGAAAAAAATACAATTTTCCCTCATGTTTTTCTGTTTTGAGAGAAATTGTTTGCTGTTTTTGTTTTGAAAACAGCAGCTTTGTGTTGAATCCACAGGGTCGAGTGGAGGTGGAGGCCGGAAACGAGAACATGAAGTTTGAAGCCGGAGCTTTTTCGTATTATGGCGTCATGGCGCTCAGTGCGTCCACTCTGGGTGAGTCCACAACCTCATCTGCTTTAACCTGACAACCGGTTACTGACCCACTTAAAGTACAGCTGAGTTATTTTTTTTAAAAATGTCTCTCTACTGCCACCTTGTGGCAACATGAAAGAATTGTTCAATTCTTGAAATTTCTTTTTTATTTGGTTCAACAGAACCAAATAAAAAAGATGCTAAAAAGTGTCTTAATAGAAAAACCTAGAACATAAATGTAAAGGCATTAATGTTCTGATTTTCTCATTTCCATATTTTCCCTATAATACGCGGTTATTTTCTGTTTCGGGAACTTTGTAAGGAAAAAAGCCAAAAATGAAGAATTATTTTGGTTTTGTTTTGTCAGCATCTACATCAAGAGTGTCTAAACTTTTTCTCATCTTGGGTCAAAAGTTTTTCTACGCCAAGAAAAATAAAAAGTAAAAGACAATCAAGCAAATAATGTAGCTTAATTTGTTTTTGGGGTGTTTTCATTGTAAATCCAAAAGTTAAAAAAGTTTTGCACACGTGCTTTGTTAAAGAAAGGCATCCAGTTTTCAATTTCTTTTTTGCTCAATTGAACAAATGTTTTAAAACCGGATTTGGGTCACTATCCTTCAAAAATGTTTGCTAATTTAATGAATTTAATAAAAGCTGATTTGGATGCAGCAAAGACAGAACTGCAGCTGTGGGCCACAAAAGGCCCCTGCGCCACACTTTGGACACCCCTGATCCACACCCGGGCTTTTATTCCAGCTCTGCAGCAGCAGCATCATGCTGTGGGCTCTCTGGGTTTCTGTGGGATCAGCAGAGCGTCTCCAGGGTTCTGCATGTTCCCTGGACTTTGTGCAGACCTATCTCCCTGACCTTCGACCTTCCCTTTCACCCCCCCTCTCTGCTATCCTCTCAGTGGCCGCGCCGCGCCCTCGCCTCCTCTCCTTTAAGAGATTTTCTCTGTTCTCTCGGTTGCCAGGTAAAAGCCGGCATGTCTGGGTGCCCTAACACCGAGCTCAGGTTGGGTGGGGGGTCAAAGGGCACAAAGTCGGTAGAAAGACCTGATTTTTGTCATTTCTGTAGGTTTTAACCCACAAAGTCTGTAGAAAAAGCTGATTATTGTCACGTCTTTTAGGTTTTAACCCACAGCTCTGACACTCATGCGATTGACTGTAGGTTTAATCTTTAAGGATTGCATAAACGCTGCATTTTGGCAAACAATTATTTGTTCTGTAAAAGTGACTATACTTCCTAACAAATCTCCTTTTCAGCCACTGATATGAAATCTGTTTGAAACTGAACTATTCAGTAGATCAGCGCTTCACATGAAGAGTTCCTCAGTTTTCAGGACTGTTGGTCAAATTGTTTGCCAAAATCTCGTCTTTTTTTTAGACGACATGATGACTGATTTGCCTCCAGGAATAAAACCGTCGAGCTGCTTCTAGATGGATCTTCTTCTAGTTGACTGATTATTTCTCTATGAATGAAGCAACAACTTGTCTGTTTCATTGATTCATGTAGTGATAGTTTCGATCTTGCTGCTGTAGGATTTAGTTTTTCTCTTTAAAGTTCCACCCACTTCCAAATGTTGTAGTGATGAAAGAAGATGATTTGTTGAAAGGTTTTTATTTGGATTTGGGTCAGTTCTGCAATCCGGTCCATTTTAAAAACACTAACTCAAACAGAAACCAGTTTCCTGATGTTGTTGACTGTAATGCTTAGAGATCCGGTTGGAGACTTTTCAGCAGGTTTTAACACCAGATGGTTTGGAAACGAGAGCAGAAGTGACAAAATAACATCAGAAATGTTTTTATTTCCTTTCTAAACTATGATTCTGTTTTCTAAATGTCATTGTACCGAAGTTAAATATAACATACAGTTTTAAAAATGTTTCTAACAATAGTTAACTCATCAAAAAAATAGGAAAATATGCATTTTTTCCACCAATAAATGAAAAAAATTTATTGGTGGAATAAATTTTCACCAATAAATCTTTTTTATTTAAACTAAATGTAAAAGATTTAGTTTAAATTCATATTCCCTGAGATGAAATACAAACTTTTTTTAAAATTAAATTTTTTTTTTATTTGTACCTTTAATAAATTTAATTATAATCAATAACAACAATTACTAATAATGTCATATATTTTGACTCAAACCCTTTTTAAGTAACCAGCAGTTTTTGTATTTCTATTTTATTTTGTGTTTAAAGATAAAAAAAGCAATTATTATTAAGCTAATTTGAATATTTTTTCAAGATGTTTGTATTTTTAAGCATTTTCAACAAAATTAGAAAGAAAACCTTCCAGTCTTCCATTATTAAAATAAAAATCCATGATGTTTTTTGTCACTTTTGCTCTCTATAAGAGAGGCTAATTTAAAACTGCTAAAGAGAATATTTCTGAATTTTTTCATCATTACTTTGAGTTAAAAACCAGTTTCCTGATTTTAACCAGAAAGAAAAATCTCCTGCTGGATTACCAAAATCTCCTCCCAGTAAGATGAGTTTGCTAATCCAGTCTAATCCAACCACTAACTGTGAAAGTAGCTGTGGAAAACCGGGATGAGCTTCCCGGTTCATTCCTGGGAAACTAACGCGGTTGACGTGTCCAGGTAAAACAGTTTCCTATGACTCACTGAGGCCCCCTGCTGGACGACTCACACCAACCGGTAATCATAATGATGCACTGGGTGAACGGACGTGTGTGTGTGTGTGTGTGTGTGTGTGTGTGTGTGTGTGTGTGTGTGTGTGTGTGTGTGTGTGTGTAAGACATATATAGGAGAATGAGTTTGGATAGAAACTGTAATTTCTGATTATTATAAAAGCAAATGGAACATTTTGTACTTGACTCAATCTATAAATTAAACCGTTACCCAATATTCCAATAAAATGTTATTAATTTGAGTCGTTTTCTATAGAAACATACTGACTGTCTGAAAGACATTTTCATTTCTTAATGTATTTCAACTAACCTGTTTAGATTCTAATGGTTGATTGAATTAATAAGTTGTTTTAATTTAGTCTCAGCCTTCAAATCTACATGCATATTGCCACTCCTGGTAAAGATGTAAAAAAGGCCATAAAATAAGATTGTTTTATTGCAGCAGCTGAAAAAATTGGGAAACTCTGTGTTTAATTTAGATGCTTCAAAACATTTCATGCCAATAAGTAATAATCTTATAATCTATTTAAAATGAGTCAAACTACAGAAAATGTTCCAAAGTAATTCGCATTTCTTTGAATTTTGAAATACTGCAGCTAAAAGCTTGTTTTCAGTAAATCATTTCTCAGTATTAATAAAGTTCTAGTTCTACTGGCAGATTACAGCATGGGGAAATTTTAATTCATTATAAATAAATTTATCTGTCAGTGGAACTAGAACTTTTTCATCAACATTGAGGAATTATTAACTTAAAACAAGCGCCTGCATCTGCTGAAAAGTTAGTTTTGTCTTATTTCTCGTGTCTTTGCTTTCAAAATATCTTCAATACAATTTGCTCCAGTCAAATCTTACATATCTCATGTCTAAATAAAAACCTGATGAGCTCTAGTAGGAAGCGAAACTACTTTTCCAGGAAGTCAGCTCTAAATGCTAACTTAGCATGTGTAGAGTTAACTTAGCGTTTGTAGAGTTAGCTTAGCGTGTGTAAAGTTAGCTTAGCGTGTGTCGAGTTAGCTTAGCGTGTGTAGAGTTAGCTTAGCATGTGTAGAGCCAGCTTAGCGTGTGTCGAGTTAGCTTAGCATGTAGAGTCCGCTTAACGTGTGTCAAGTTAGCTTAACGTGTGTAGAGTTAGCTTAGCGTGTGTAGAGCCACCTTATCGTGTGTCGAGTTAGCTTAGCGTGTGTAGAGTTAGCTTAGGGTGTGTTGAGTTAGCTTAGCGTGTGTAGAGTTAGCTTAGCGTGTGTAGAGCCAGCTTAGCGTGTGTAGAGCCACCTTAGCGTGTGTCGAGTTAGCTTAGTGTGTGTTGAGTTAGCTTAGCGTGTGTAGAGCCAGCTTAGCGTGTGTCGAATTAGATTAGCGCGTGTCGAGTTAGCTTAGCGTGTGTAGAGCCAGCTTGGCGTGTGTCGAGTTAGCTTGGCGTGTGTCGAGTTAGCTTAGCGTGTGTAGAGTTAGCTTAGGGTTTGTAGAGCCAGCTTAGTGTCCATAAAGTTGATCCAGGATCAGCTGGATGGGTTGTGCAAACTGAAACTCTGTGAAATCTCGCCGGTAAAAGTCCGGTGTTGTTAGGATTTCTTCACACCAGATTTTTTTCCGCCTACTTTTTTTTTTTTAAATTTAATGACTAAACTGCAATGTAAAAACAACACTTTGTTTTTTTTACATGTCTTAATCTGGAGCAGAGTGGGGATTATGTCCCATTTTAAGGGTTAATGGTTTATTTAATCATTAATGTGTTATGGAATATTAATCAAATTTCTGCTGCATGATGCATTTATTTCACATTTTTATTTGTTTGGGAACTAAAACTCAGTGTAACTTATCTTTGTGTCATCGCAGATAAATCCTAACATGATGAATTAAAAACAGCTGCTTTACTTTGAAGAAATTGTAATGTGTGGCTGATGTAAGATCCTGACTTTAGAGTCACTTTAGATGGAAAGTTTTCTTTGTCACTGCCTGGTGACATAAAGTTTGAGTTAATAAATATTTGCTTCCACTGCACCCCCTCATCCTGATGCGTTTCTGGTTAGTTTGATGGTTTCTGTTGCTGTTTTCTGCTTTCTTCATACCTTCTTTTCTCGTAGTTACTCATTAGTCCTAACCTGCATCGCATCTTTGAACCACACTGCAAAAACTCTAAATCTCTCCAAGTGTTTTCAGTCCAGTTTTTAATAAACATATCTTAGTACACTGTGGAAATAAGACAAAGCTAACCCACAAGCAACTTTTCACCAATAATGGGAGCTTGTTTTGATTAAAAGGACTCGTTCTATTGGCAGATTATTTCACATCTAACTTGGAAAAAATGTCTTGTAATAAATGAAATAATCTGCCATCAAAGTTAAGGAATTATTGACTCAAACAAAGTCCTGCATCTTGCTGAACAGTTAATTTTGTATTATTTCTAGTGAACTTGAATATTTGCACGAAAGATACTTGGTAAGATTTAGTGTTTTTTCAGTGCAATAGTTATGAACCCAGTCTGCACCGGTTTTAAAGCGTCTGCAGGTCAAATGAAATGTTTCTGTGTTGAAATGTTGATCCGGAGCTGATTTAATTGAGTTTCTGTTGTGTTGTTAGTAGAGTTTCACTCGCCGTCTCACCTCAGCGGGTTGAACCGGACGGCGTCTCTGAGCGGAGCGGACCGGACCGACTCCCTGGCCGTGAGTGGGAGCACCAGCCAGCTCAACAGCAGCATGGCGTCGCAGCACTACACCCCCGACTTCAACGTCCGGGCGCTCACCGACCTGCAGTTCGTCAAGGTGGGTCCAGAACAGCCAACAAATCAGAGGAAGGCTGCATGTTTACTGCTCTGTCAGTAAAAATCTACGTTCTCCAACCCAAAACATGGAGAAGCAGCATCCAGCTTCTATGCAACACAAATCTGGAACAAATGTCCAGAAAACAGCAAAACAGCCGAAACACAGAGTTCCTTTAAATGAGGACTAAAAACCCACCTGGTTAGAGTTGCTTTTGATTAATAATAAATGGTTTAATAAACATTTATTATGGCTTTTCAACCATAAAAACCATGAAACATATTTAATGATGACACATGACAAACTATAAAATGTTTACTGGTTTTCTTAATTGTTGTCTGTACAGTAATGTGTTGTTTATGACATTGTTGCTTAAATGTGCTATGCTAATAAACCTGATTGATTGATCAGATATCTATATTGCTATCAAAGGAGAAAAAGTGGATCGGTGCATCCCTAGTTTTTATTAAATTTATTGACAAAGTTCAACTTTAAAGCAGACGAAAAATATTCTTTTAGCTCATCATTTACAGAAACATTCGTGTGTTTTTTCTAACTCTCCCTCAGATCACACGCTCACAGTACCAGAACGGCCTGATTGCGTCTCGCCTGGACAGCACGCCTCAGTCCCCAGAGAGCTCCCACTACTCGCAGGAGGAGACCACTCCCCCGGCAAACATCACCATCACGGACCTGGGAGCAGACTCCGCCCTCATGGAGAACGGCCCCGACGAGAAGACGCTGCTGCTGCTGCTGAACGAGCAGACGCCGACGCCGAACCACCATCACAACCACCTGGACAACAACGTCTGACCCCGAGCTTCCCCTCCCCTACAGGGGGGGGCGCTGTCAGCACCAAACACACCTTAAAGTCCCAAAGAGACAAGCCATGCGCGCATATCATGTAAATATGCGGGAATTCAAAATACCAAACAGACACGATGAGTCAAAACATTACAACCACTTAAAACTGCTGATCTGGATTGTTTTAGTTCTTTCAGATTGAAAATAGAAGAGTTTTATATCAATAATTCAGCAAGAAAGAGAAGTAAGACACACCCAGAAACCTAAAATAATACCTGTTAGATCTTATATTTAATGCTGTAAATCAGCATCAGGATTAATTTTCCCTCAAAAACACAAAATATTAATTATCTTATGTAGATTTGGGTGTAAAGGAGCCGATTATTAGTCAATAATTCCTTAATATTTATGAAAAATAGTAATACTACTGGCAAATTGTTTTGATTTAAGACAAGACGTTTCCCTCATAAATAAAATAATCTGCCAGTGGAACGAGGGTTTCTTTTTAAAATCGGGATTAAGGAATTATTTACTAAAAATAATCTCCCGTTTCTTGCTGAAAAGTTACTTGTAAGTTATTTTTGTCTCTTTTCATGTGAACTAAGATAAAACATCTGGATCTCTTGAGTTATTTTAACTGAACTAATATCAGTGAAATTGTGTGATTTCATATTTAAAGCTGTAATATCCATCAAATCAGCAACAGGATTTATTTGCACTGCATAAACAAACTTATACCAAGTACTTTTTTTGTCTATTTTCTAGAGAAAATAGACTAAAAAATTAGGTGTCTTAATATCTTAGTACACCCGAAATAAAATAAATTAACTAGAAGTAACTTTCAGCACAATATAGGAGCTTGTCTTAAGTTCATAATTCCTTAATATTTATTTTTAAAAAGTACTTATTCCATTGGCAGATTATTTCGCTTATAACAAAACATGTTCCCCAAATTTTAAGTGAAATATTTTACCAGTGGAACTTGTAATTTTTCACCAATATTAAGTATTTATAAACAAAAAGCATGCGCCTATTTCTTGCTGAAAAGCTATTTGTAACTTCATTTACTGTATTTCAACAATGCCAATATATTAACAATAGAAAATACACCAAAAAATGCTCGATAATATTTAGGGGGGTTTTTTTCAGTGTGGATGCAGTTGAAGTCTGTAATCTCCTCAAAAAGTCATTTTTCTCTGAAGCACCTTGAATGAAACGTAAATTTCCCTGTTTTAATGCGGTTTTAGCCAAGCGGTTTGGAATAAATTTGTTTTGTGGATTTCTGCTGTAAAGTTTTGGCTCATCGTGAAGAAAACCCACCAAAAGTGTATTTTGCCACAACCATGCAAGCAGGGTGAACACCCAGCGGCCGTCTGTGGAATCCAGGAAGTTAACCTTTTCACCCCGTCATGGCTGCCAGCACCGTCATGGCCGCCGTCATGGCCGCCGGTTTCCATGTTGCTTCCAGTTCAGAGACTCAGGGAGACTCCGCCCTCCTGCCTCCACCAATCCCGTATCGGAGAGCTGTGAACCAATGGCGTCGCAGCCTGTGTAGCAGTCTGATCCACCTCCACCAATCAGCAACCAGAAGACAGAGAGGACCCGTCGGAGTTCAGACAAAGTAATATATGTTCCATAGAGATTTCTAATCGCATATTTATTGATGAACTTTTATGTTTTCTTGGCAACGCCGGAGGAGCTGCGATGGGAGTTTCATCCTCGTTTTGTCTTTTGTTTCCGGTGACTAACCAAGAGCCTTTATATCCTGAAGTTGTGAAGAGATTCACACTGATTGACAGCCAGTCTGTATTTTGATTAAGACAATCAACATAAATGAAGTGAATGTTTTATGAAATGTGTAGGGTACGTTAACCATGGCTGCTCTTGTCTCTGTGAAATCTTTGATTATTTTGTTTTAAAGCTGAATTCAGGCTAAATCCACAGAAATCAGGTGCCGGTTTTCACAGAGAGGAGTCGGCCTGAGAGCTAAGAGACTTCTTTTGGAAAGTCTCTTCTTTCCAAAAGAAGAGATTCCTTCTTTTGGAAAGAGCGGGGACTTTTCTTTTGTTTTTTGTATACCTGTGTGTGAGAGCATGTGTGTGTGTGTGTGCGCGCGTGTGTGTGTGACCAAAAATGGGGATCCCTCAGTGGGATCAGAACCAAAAAAGGGATGCTGCGTCACCTCCTAAGAAAGTACTTTATTTATTTACCTAAATACTTGTATATATATTTGCCGTTGAGGCACAACAAGTGTAATTTTTTTTGCAATGATTTGCATTTATTGTTTGGGATTTTTTGTTTTTAAATCGAGGACTGTGGGATGATTACATGGAACCACGAAGTTGAAACACTCAGCTGCATCGCGTCACTTTCATGTTCAACTGTTCTGTACATTTATCATCAGTGCTTTATTTGTTTTCAATTTGAGCTGCATACACTCCAGTTATATTTTACTGTAACTTCCAAAGAGATTTTAAGGAGAATCAATCATAAAACTGATATAATTACCTTTCTTGTGGATTTTTTTCTGTGATCTCTTATAAAACTGAAGAGTTTTCCTAAATATTCTTTGTTTAGTGACATAAAGACAGTTTTTTTTCTTTTTTTCCTCATCTTTGTTCCTTTTTGCTCCGTTTCATTTCCCCACTATCAAATTAAAATTTTCCTCTTAATCCTCATGAATGTAAAGTCAAACAAAACTTACCTCTTTCTGCCCCAAAAGAGGAACTGAAGATCACTTTTCCTTGCATTTTCAGTTTGTATCTGAAACCAAGGCCTAAGAAAATCTCTTTTTCTCTTTTTTGAGTTCAGTGGGAAATGTTTTCTGTTTTTAAAACTTCCTGTGTCTAATTTTGTTTACATTTGGATTTTTGTGTCACAAGGGAGGAACAGAAAAATTCCTTCCTGTACTTGGTAACTGAGAAGACATCAGGCTCTGCTGCTGCAGCAGCACATGAAAACACATGACACAGTTCTGAGGAGCTGGCTGGAGTTTACGTGAAGAAATTGTTTGAGTCCCTTTTACGTCACTGGTTTCATTCTGAAATTGATTTCTGTGAAAGTTCAAAGTGATTTTTGCCAACATAATTTGGACCTGAGCTGCCTGCTAAAGGAGATTCTTATAACTTTTCGTTTTTAACTGTGTTCAGATCAGACAGTAAATGTTTATGTCCAATTGATAAAAAAGGAAAAACGCAGATTTTGCATTATGCTTTTAGATCAATACATATCATACTTTCCACCCATGACAAAATAAGCATTAAAGTCTCCAGTTTGAATCTTTACACATAAACTGTTGAAATGTTAGTTTATTGAAGATGAGAAAACCAGGTAAAACAAGAGTTTTGGAGACTTAACTGACCGACACCCTGATGAGAAATTTAAAAGCATAATGAGCTGAAACAATAAAATGTAATTTTTTTATCCGGTTTTTGGATCTTTGCAGCCCTGATGTGTTCGTAACTTTTCCACAAACTACTGTCACCAGAATTTTCCGCTTTATGTACTGTAAAATATGCAATGGTGAATGGAAGCAGCTAAAAGTAACACTCTTCTAAACATAATCATTACTGTCAAATCAGAACTAATGTTATACATGTGGTATTTGCCTTAGCTTGAAAACCCAGCAAACCTGCCCCACATAGAGAGTAAAGGTGCCATTTTGATCCCTTTTAACAACTAACTAAATGAAAGCACTGAAATTAGCTCCTGCTTGCAGATTCTCCAGTCTGTCCTGAATTGTTTCCTGTGGGTATCAGCAGTTTTAGTTCTTTTACGACTTTATGTGTGTGCGATTCTGCAAGTCTCACATTTCTCCACATAAACTCTAGTTTGCCTTCAAACCTCTGTCAGTTTGGTTGAAGTGAACTCTGGTGTGGTTTGAATGCATAACTGAACGCCAATAGGACTGGCTACCGATATAAAAGCAGGAAGCGGACTACAGAGCAAGGTATTATGGGTAAACACAATCAAAACAAACACGAGTCTAGCGCTAGCGTGAGAAATAACTCATGGTTATTTCATTTACTAATGAAATAACTCATTAATAGCGTCTCTCCAACCGCTAAAATCTGACGCCACTCCATTTTTGTTTACATTTCATGAAAAAAGGCTGTAGAGCTCAGTGTCTTCAGTGATATGTGTGTTGCTTCAGTGGTTCCTGGTGAGGCGCCCCCACAGGCCAGGAGTGGAACAGGTTGCTCAAAGGGTTTAGTTGGTTTGACTCCGTGCAGTGAGAAAGAAAACCACAGCAGCTGAAAATGGAACAAATGTTGCAATCGTTGGTCCCCAATCAAACCGAGTTTACTGACTATCAGGTGTCACAACATTCTTGCAAGCAACACCCATCCGCACCTTTATTGCTTGACTTTGCTCAAGATAGCAGTCTCAGCCATGAGATTAACCATGTTGTGTTGTTTTCACTGTGTTTTTGTTGTTCTTTTTCTTAAGTCACAGATTAAAATTATTCTATTATGCTGGGACAAAAGTTGTTTTTCTATGAAGGTGAATAGAAATCTGGCTTTTCTGTGATTATCTCTGTGAAGCTCACGGTCTTGGATCATGTCTTAGGAAAGAGCTTTCTCTAACCTTCTTTCTTTGTGGCTGATTAGCCACCACACCCAATTGAATTATTTCCAAATTGTCTTTGCTTATTTTATCAAGAAAACCAAGCATTCTGTTAATTCACTAAGAGATTTTCAGATTCTATGTCATCATCCTTATATGGTTGTGCCTTCCTGTTTTAGCTAGTGACTCAAAATGTTTGTTTCAGAAAAAGGTTTCTAAAATCCGCTGCAAATGATTTTCCCAAAGCTGCTGCTGGCTATCGTCTTAATATATGCTAAGAAAAAATGTCTTTGTTGCAGTGTCCGAAAGCAAACCTGGCACAAAAACTGAACTAAAAATTAAATAACAGAAACTACCAACAAAACAACCTTATATTTACTACCACTTTTTTACTTTATCTCACTAAACCAGAAGCAAACATAATGCTATGAAACATTAGTACGGTCCTTTATGTGTGTAAATCCATAAGAGGGAGAGAAATGTATTATTAGCTTATCTTGCTAAATTCAGTTAGCACCACAACATTTAGCAAATCCAGCTGGTTTTCTAATTTATGACTAGAATGTTCTGTTTCGATGTCTTTTCATTCCCACATCTGAGCTTCAGAAGCAACATTATATTGATTTTGAAACGCAGACCGCAGCTTTTAAGCTAACAGCTTAACTAACAAGCTGTGCTAACAGCTGCTTTGCACAGACTCTGTTAAAGAGAATTTTAATCACATAAAACATGCCACACACACAATCTTTATAGCAATTCAAGTGTTTTCATCTTTGCACGAGAGTTCTCAACTCTTAGCTAAACACACGTTGAGCTAACCATATAAATGTCTTTATATCTAACTGTTCTTTCTCCATCAGACATGTTTTATTATATTTTTGTTGTGTGAGAACTAGAACGAGAATAGAGACATGAAAGAACGACAAGATCAGCAGAAGGACTCATTAAGCTAACGTTGCTCAGCATGGCAGACGGATCATTTTTAATCAGCTGCTTTTTCCTCCTGGTGTTTACAGTTAGCTTCTGAAGTTCAAGTCACAGCAGTGGTTTATAAATATTACAATATAAGAACCGTATTTACATTAAAAAATCTCTTTAAAATGTTTTTTGTATAGTTGATAAATTGCAGCAATTTTGGTCTTCCCTTTACTTCAGACAGAAATTCTTCTTTTCACTGCATTTAATTATAATTCAACACATTATAACTTCCTGCTCTGTGAAACTTTTCTGGCAGCTGCTTTCTGCTTGTTGTTAACTTTGCTGTTCAGGAGCTTTAGATTCCTGTGCCTTAAGAATCTTTAGTTTGCTTTCTATTTCCAGTCTGACATTAGTTATTTGCATATTTTGACACATATTTCTGAGTTTCTTTCTAAACTGAAGGCTTTATAATTTTGTCATTGAGTTTGTGTTCCTCAAGTAATTTTGTAATGTTTTATTCAAGTTGATTTCAGTAACTAAGCTGTATATTTTTGCTATTTCTGCTGTATAGTGATACAGCAGTGATTAAATTTAGTAACTGTGCATTTATTTTAGAATTTGTGAAACTTGTTAAAAATCTGTACAATTGCATTGTTGAATGTGTTTTATTGCTGTCCAGAAGCATAGTTTTAAAAACTATGAAACTATCCGACTACATATACCAACTCGTGTGCGGTGAGTTCATGGCTAGTGAGGGAAAATCATAAGACCCCCACATGTTGTTGTTAACGTAGGTTAATTTCACACATGCAGACAACATTGAAGGGCAAAAAGACTATTTCTTCAATAGCCGTGCTGCCATGGTAGAATAATTCCGTTAACTCAATGAAACTTTGAAATATAGACATAAATTTGGTGCTATGCTGCACAGCAAAGAAAAAACTTGTTAAAGTACAACTCAAAACCACCTTTATCTCACTCTCTGTATCGGCCAAGCATTTCACTTATTTACTGTATGGTTGGCTCCATGGCGAGCTCGCTGTCTCTTACTCTGCAGTTGTGGAGTCACAATGTCTGGGATCATGAGCGCCCCCTGCCATGAGGCAAGAAAACTGCCTGCCTCACCTCTAATCTGTTCTCTGGTTTCTGATTGCTCCTCAGCACACGAAACACATTACACACACACAGTTGGTGACAACAAACACTGTACATTACATACATAAGTTATTAACTACATATTAAATGTTTTTTAACCATTTTATTGGCGACGTACAGCCATGTACAGTTAGAGAGAGGTTGATCAATCCCAGGTGAGGCTCAGCTCACAGCTGCCTCACCGGCTTCTGAGCATTTCAATGCAAAAAATGTGAAAATTGTGTGATTTTTCAAAAAAAATCTAAATTGGTAAAGCTAAATAAAAAAATAAATATTTTATACTACAAAACATAGGATGTAGCTATATAAAATTATCTTATATTATTCTTCATGATGACAGGTGAGGCTTTACCTCCCCTGACTGCATGTCACCATATATATATATATATATATATATATATATATATATATATATATGACTCACCAAGCGATTGCAACATCAGGAAAAAGGAGCACGAGAAACTGGAGAAATACCAGGGCCTCAGGGAAGAGCTGGAGAGAGCCTGGAAGGTGAGGACCACAGTGGTGCCTGCGGTCATCGGGGCCCTCGGGGCAGTAACCCCCAAACTGGAGCAGTGGCTACAACAGATCCCAGGAACAACATCAGACATCTCAGTCCAGAAATGTGCAGTCCTTGGCACAGCCAAGATACTGCAGGACCCTCAAGCTCCCAGGCCTCTGGTAGAGGACCCGAGCTCAGAGGATAAGAACCACCCGCGGTGGGTGAGAAGGAACTTTTTTAAAATTCTTTTATGTATAACTGGATGAAGCAGTACAAACCAGCCTCATCCAGTCACGTTTCAGTTTGTGTGCTTCAATCCATCTTGTTGTAAAAAATAAAAGCACTTTAGCAATCAATGCATTTTTA